AGCAGAGTTGCCAAAGCGTTACATCCAGCCCTCTCCCACTGCTGCAGTAAAAGCTTGATACCTTCTGTCTTGTTGCTGTAGAGCAAAAATTCTCTTTCTCAGTACTAGCCTTAATTTTTTCTAGATTTTTAAGTGATTTTTTTTTTTAAACCTTAGTCTTTTTAAAGGTTTAGCACCTACACAAGCACAACTATCACCAATTATTTTAACATCATCTGAACTGACCAAAATTCCCAGCTGGAGACACAACTCGATGGCAGAGCCTCTCTCTCCCCCTGAGTGTGTCTCAGCTCTAGTGGAGCAGTGAAATTACGTCAGTTCAGACATTTAAACAGAGCAGAGTTAGAGCACATAAGTGTCATTTCACATTAAACGTGCAAATGCCAGAGGGGCCACTCCAGAGTTCATCTCTAGGACCCAGGGCAGGTTCCCACAAGTCACAGAATACACTAAAGTGCTCTGAAAAATTCTGTGCAGCCCTTCTCCATTTGCGGACCTCCTAGGGACAGCTCCTCAGCTATCACCTCTCGTCTCTTCCTTTTCCCCCTCTTGTTCAGGATGGACCACTACAGCAAGTATGTTATGGTTTAAAGTGTTCTGGCAGCTGGGAGAGAATCCCTTTTCCTTCAGCAGCCTTCAGAGTTACAGCAGAGCTTGGAGCCCAGGCAGCACACACCTTGGGGCGCAGAGAACTCCGTAAGGCAAACCCATCAGCAGATACAAGAAGTGGGAAATCTTGTTTTGTTATGGATTCAAGGTTATTTTTAAAATGCAGAATAGTCAGGAAAGAAGAGCTAAAGCTAAAGGTGTTCCCTTTCAACCTGTTGTAGCTAACAACAAAAAGAGCCAGCCCTTGCATACCAGCTGTGGCAGGTCCTTGAAAACGCCTGCTCCCCGTGGAAAGCTGATATTGTTACACAAAGGGAAGCGGCGTGCCCAGGACCAACAGTTTGATGGATCCAGACTTGGAAAAAAGGGACCTTGTCTGTCCTTACTGGGGCTGTTGGAAGTGACTGTAGCACTAAGGGCAGGCAGGGATAATGCTACAGCAGCTGCAGCCTGGCCTGGAAAGGGAGCCCAGTAATGCTCCAAGGGTTACAACTCAGGCTGCCTCGGACCAACAGGCTGCTTAAAACTGCAAATTGCATAAGCCATCATCTCTTGCAGATGACAGAGAAGGCAAAAAGATGACTCGCAGGCACTAGCTAATCATTTCACTCAGATGCATAATTACAAGGGACCTGACACTTCCCTAAGTGGTTATTCCAGCTAGTTAAATGAGTGCACTGATGTTAGAGAAGAAACATGTATTTGTTATCCTACCATTTCAGCAGCATCCTACAGCGACTACCACAGGCTAGATGGTTACTGATACTACTGCTAAAACCTTAAGCCACATGAAAACCTTAATCATATCCAGCCCATGGTACAGTGTTAGAGCACAGCACCCACACTTAAAAGTGAGAGAGGTTGGTACTCACCCTGGAGAGCACACAGAAAGCGTCACGACTCTGCCTGGTCCAGACTTTATATGGCTCTGTCTCAAGGTCACTGCTGATAACTGGTTAAAGGCATCAGCAGTTTTCCCCCATGCCTATATTTGTCCACTGGATCCCAGCTGAGGGGACAATGCCCAAGGAGGGGACACGTGTGGCTGTGCCCTGAGGAAGGGGGGCAGGAATGTCAGTGGGGAGTGGCACTCTCCATCCCAGCCACCCCTCACCACACCATTCTTGCTCCATGACTTCATGGAAGAAGCCTTTCCTGTTTCTGTGTTTTCACTGGGGCAAGTATTGCCTTTCCAAGTGCTTCAGAACTTAATTACCATGGGCTTGTGTGTGAGTGTGTGAGTGTGTGTGTGTGTGTGTGTGTGTAAATTAAGACTATTCCAACATAACTCCTCTGGAACATGAAAAAATCAAAGTTTTTTGCACCAAGATTATTAAGGGAATTTGGTTACGTGAGCCAAATTACCTTCATAAAACAAGGCTAGGATGTAGGTTCTCACATCCCAGCCAAGGGCTTTGAATCCCTTTTTGGGCCCCAGGAGCTTTAGAACCAAGACTATAGGCTCAGGTCTGGAACACACAGGTGTTCCCCAGTTTATGAACAAGGCAAGACAGGCAAGAAACCTAAGAATGTATCGATTAAGCCCGGAAAGTGAATTACAGGTAAAGAACAAGGAAAGCATCAATTTTAGTGAGTCCTTTGCTTCAAGAAACTAATTTATGAGTCCCAATTTAGGCAATGTCTAGCCTTTTTATTGTAAACTCATTTTTCCTGTGAAACAAGCACCGTGAGTAACTCAGGTCTCATTTCATTGCGACCCATAAATAACAACCGACACTGCCAGATTGATTTGCTTTTACCAGCACAGGTGGATATATAGGTTTCCTTTGGTTCTAGCAGAAGCTGCATATAAAAGCAGAAAGGAAAATAAATACTGTGGATAACGTTTGTTGGCCACAAGGGAAGACAATATATTTGTGCTCTAAACAACTCAGTTCCAAGGAAGCAAGGAGGGAGCTTATCCACAACTTCATTGAATTCCTAGATACCCACAGGAACAAGTGGCTTGGTTTATGACCAGGCAAGAAGGAAAATGTCTGCATAGTGAGTCTGCTATTTTTAAAGCTGTTACACTGATGACTGGACAGGGACAGGTTGTACAGACAAAGCTGGTTTGTAAGAAACAGGAATTTCTGGAAGTGATAGGCTCAAAGACAGGAGACTGATGTGGCAGCTCTGAGGATTTGAACACTTTAGTAACTTGGTATTTTTAGCATTTGGGGAATGCAACCAAGAGACAGAGAATCACTAGTGCTGTGCTAGAGACATGCTCACCTCCAGACAGGCTGGAGAAGAGAGTGCTCTGCTTGGGAGCAGAGGTAGAGATAAGAGCTAGGGATGAAGCTTTCCATCCTGGTCTGGATTCATCTGAGAAAGTAACCTGCACTCAGGCTGAACACAAGCATCTTGTGTCATGTTCTAGAGTGTGACTGGCAGTCACTCTCACACCAGAATTGCTGCCTAGCCTGCTGCTTTAGAGGTGTTTGGTGCCCTGCAGCACAGATGGACAGCGTTAGTGTCGGACCTAAATCGCCACCTTTTTGCTTTATATCTGGCAAAAAAGGAAAGAGAGGTGGCGATTTTGGCTGCTGAGGTGAACAGTGAGTGATTGTGTAAACTCAAGCAGATGCTCCTGATCACATAATTTGAAACAAGGTAAATCACAAGCATCACCAAGATTTATGGACAATGTTAATCTGCTGTGAAGACTGAGAATATGATTATTTCACCCCATGAGAATATTAAATGCTGATACTCTCTCCCTCTTGCTCCTCTTTCACATAGCCAGGAGCTTCACTTCAAAACACAATATTCCCATTTACCACTTACATTGCTTAGAAGAAGCCATCTTTTTATAAATACACTGTTATCACTTACATCTTTTCTGTTCTGTAAATATTCAGCTTTCATCAGTCCTGCATGAACACTACAATCTTGCTCCCACGCCTCCCTTTTCTTTCTTGGGGTTGCAAACGACTGTTTCCATAGCTAATTCTAAAACAATTTCAGTGCTTGTGTTGCTTAGAAAGGGACACAGCTAACTGGTTCAAACACAACCAATTTATTTTCTTTGCTAGCCTGATATAAATGGATACTGCACATTAATCCTGCCTCTCTGGAGTTTATTTGCTTTCTCTTAATATGAAACAGAAATTGCAGCACATTTTCCCTAGATTAAATTTGTAACAGGGACAACCAAAGACATTTGTCTTTTGCAGGGGCTACTTTTAGAAAGGTTAATGCTGGTCACTGTTTCTAGGGAAACAAGGGTCTTTGATAAGGAGCTCTTGTGACTAAACTATTTTTAATAACATTACATATTGGAAAGGAATGCAATAACATTTATCAGCTCTAGACAGAAGATAGTGTCAATATTGTGGTCTAATATAGAAAAGCTGACATCTTGTAAAAGCTCAGTTATGAACCCTCCTTATTTTCTTAGACAAAAAGAACAACCGGCTGGCTGAGTTTTGACAAAAGCTGGCCTTTAGACTACTCTTAATAAAATGTTTACTGTAATAACCTGGCACTCAAGAAAAGCAAGATCAATGAGAGAGGAGGACACCAGTTCAAGATACAGATGCTTGGAGAAAACATCTTTGGAGTCAGGATCCTCTGGGTTGCTCTATAAAAAAGCAGATAGACTATCGCTCCACAAGTTGCATCTAAAGAGACTGAGAACCTATTGTTTACCTCAGGTACTTTTTTTGATCACTAATCCCTGCTGCTGTTGCAGTCTCTGTTTAAAAGACAAATGGGAGAGAACCAAAATGGCTTAATTGGATGAGAAAGTTCATCCACCTGGGAATAATTTCAGGAGAAGAAAGGTGCTAACATTGCATCCTGGAGCAAAACCAGACCCATTCTGTACAAGTTATGTATTTTGTCTTGTGAAGAATTATGGTTTAATTCCTCAAGCTGTTGATGGCCCAAAGAGAAATTGGAGGGGGAGAGAAACTTAGTTTTAAAAATAGTTGCACTCTGCTACATCTCTTAAGGATGAGAAAACTGGCACTGAACAGTACATTGAAAATGTGTTTATGACAGCTAGAGTCCCATTATTAGACGGGAGATTTTCAGGTCTCTGACAGCCTTTGTGCTCCCCCTGCTGCAGCGCCTGTGCTCGGCCATGGACACACATGAAGAGGCATCGGGAGCATCTCTTTACCTTCCTTTCAGCATCATCATCATTTTAAATACTTTCCTACAATTAATTCTTTGCTGACAGCTACTGTGTGGTGCGACAGTAGAACGGAAATTTAGCTCTCTCTATGGGAAGCATCTGCTTTCATACAAATATGCCTGGTGAAATAATTCCTAACCCACCAAAAATGTTTTAAGTGTCTTTTAATCCGTAATCCGTGATCTATTGCTATCAACCCGTGCAAACCCGTGGCACCTTTTCCCGTTTTGAACAGGGAGGGGTCGGCAGGGAGTGCAGAGCATTAACCCTGTAAAGCACAGGAGTGTAGCCCATCTCCCCAGAGCCCATCCCTGAGCCTCTCATCCACTGGCTCATCATCATCGCAGGGCTCCGGGCTGCAGTGACACCTCCCCTCCCAGCCCGGCCTGGGACAATAAACATTTCAGAGCTGTCACTGCTGCCTCTCCCCTGCTGACATTCAATCATTACGGTATCTTAAGAACGTTTAAATAGGTCAGGTTTTTAATGGGAGAGCTTGGCTTCTGGGAGTGAGACTGACAGCCTTTTGAGAGCAGATTAACAGCACTGATAAATCAATCTCAGACTGACTCACAGCCATAAGAAAAATAAGAAGATGAAAAGGGAGCCTAGTTAAATAAATGGTCTCAGTTCTTCGGCTTTGGAGATGTACCGGGGGAAGGAAAGCAGGCTTTTGTCGTGCTCCTCGTCACTCTTCTTTCTCCAAGTTTGACCGCATCTCCCACTCCAGCAATGCCCTCTGTGGGGAGTTTTCCATCTCCAATGATCCTGAGCATCCCGCCCTGCCCATCAGGTCAGAGATTAATGGCATGTTTTCAGAAGTGCTGTGCATCATTTTCCCAGCTATCACGTAGCCTAATTGCCATTAGTGAATTTTGGGTCCCCCACCCTTAAACTACTCTGCATTATCCATAACCACTGGGGGAAGGCAGGGGGTTAAAAGCACTAATAATGCATGTAGGCAGTTCAGGTTAATCTTTTGAGTATTCATTAACATTCATTTGTTTGCTTAGCACGTCATTGGAATTACCGTAGTCCCTCCACCAATTCCATTAAACCCTCTGAAGCTAATAGCAGAAGTATTTTAGTCTTGATCAATGCAAGGAAAAAAAGAAATCTTCCAAGCGTCTCCCTAGGGTTTGTATTACGCAATCTGACTTCAAAGACAGGGTACTTCATTAGCCTACTTCAGCCGCTGACTATGATGCACTCTGTCGGCTCAAGAAGCCTGAAAACCACATTTCCATTTCAATAGGCAGCACTGCCCTAAAATATTCCTAGGTCTTCAGACACAACATATTCTAGCTCCTGGTACCAAGCTCCTGCAAGACAACTTGCCTTTTTTTTGCCTTTTTTTGCCTTTTTTATATTTCACCTCCAAGGATTCAGAGCCTGCCCTTCAGGTATGGGCAGGGGTGGGTACAGCCTTTGCAGATTGCCTGGCTTTGCTGCTGTGGAAGCTTATTTTTCAGAGGAGCTGAGAGGGAAAGAAGTAAAATATTCATGCCCTTTTAGACACAGGAGGTTTTGTGATTTTTCAATTTTTCGCTGCTGTAACTCTATGAGTCATAACTTGACTTTCAGCCAAGGATTGTTTGCTATCTTTTGTTTACCTTATGCCAGCTGCAAACTACACTAAAACATGCAGAGACAGTTTAATTGGTGAAACAATTGTCATGGGGATACTTTATTAACTTTGCAAGTGCTGACGGAATAAACCCAATGTGATTGGGATGATGCTGAATAGCAGGAAAACACTGCAGGAAGGAGGCTGCTCGAGTTTTTCAGCATTTATGTTCTGTAAACAACAACAAAACATTATTTCATTCCAAATACAGATACACTGGGCTGGTCACCTCTGCTGAAAATTCAGTCAGCAAAGCTTCTTGAAATATTAAAGCCAATTTTAAAAGAAAATCTATTTCGAGGAGTATTACGTTCTGCCTGAAAAAGCACAAGTCTGTGCTTCTCACATGGCCTAATGATTTGACACTTTTTGTCAGTTGAGTTTAAACACCTCCCAAAATGGGCACGACATCCTTCTCTCCAGCAGCAATATTCTGGAGTGACTGGCTGGTGTGTGCATGTAAGTGTATATATAGGAGAGACACACATATGAATTTATACATCTGTGTGTATGTCTAAACATATCTATACATATATATATATAGACTTTTAAATGTGAAAACAAGTTTATTTTCTAACCTCTCCCCTCCCAGCTGGGATGCTCCACACTTGCAGCTCAGTACTAGAAAAAAACCAGCCTTTTCTTTTGGAGACCTGCAGAACTGACCCTGCCAGTGCTGCTGTACCATCCTGCTGTGCTCCCCTGATGCTGGAGCTGAAATCCTGCCCCCAGCAAACCCCCCTGAAGTGCCTTGGGCTCAGCCTCTCTTCTGCACAGGGCTCTCCTATTTGGTGTGATGAGTCATCACGTCTAACCCCGGGGTAATTTCTGGAGAGGCACAGTGGGGTGAAATGGGAAAGGGGTGAGCTGTTTGGGGAGGGCAGAACCAGGGGTGATGAGATGACAAGAGTTACAGGAGAGAGGGCTGGTGAGAAAAGGCTGTGCTGCACCACACAGAGGAACCTATGGATCCCAATGGAGAAAGGCTGCACCACCTACCTAGACCAAAACACATGGAGACACCATCCCTGAGAGCAGCCAGGCACTGCCTTTGAGGAGGACAAACAATTCTATCACAACAGTGAGCAGCAGCTGAGATTTCCAGTGATGCTACAGGCACAACTTTCTTCAGAGTCACACTGGATCCCCAGCAGCAGCCAATCCTGTTGCAACAGAATTTAAATATTTGTTTGTTTATTTATTTTTGTAACTAAAATATACATTTTGTCTTTACAGAAAAAAAAAAAATAATGGAGACAGAACCAAAAAAATATCAGATCATATACTTGAGGCTCCTTGCACAAAGCCAAAGTATCTGCTTTAGGCACTTTGGTCTCACCCGATGGTCTAGAAAAGAAAAGGGATAGAAAACATTAACATATGCAGCAAAGCTAGATTGCTGTACAAATGCTGAACAGGAATGGAACACTTGCCTCAGTGGGCCCCTCTGAAGTTCACTTTAAATACCAGTCACTCAGCAGCATGAAAACTCTAAAGAACTCATTTGACAAGACCACCAGCCCAGCTGAGTGACTCATTTTCATCAAAACTCAACAGAAAACCTTGGATTTTGATCTATGCAGCCTGTCCCACAGTAACTTCCCACCAGCAGGTTCATCTATTCAAATCTCTTCACCAACAAGGCATTTGGGAACAGTCTTGGTTGAAAGCCTGTCTACCACTCTGTGGGTGTACACTGTTTTTCATCTCACCTTTCCAGATGCCTTTCTGCAGGTCTAGTGGCTGTGCCTTGCTTCTAGAGAGGAGAGTGAGATCTTAATAATAACTCCTGCAAGGCAACAAAATAACATTTTTGTTTATATAGCTTTAGAAAAAATGTATATCATGTTTTAAAAATCAACCTGATGTTTTTCTGAGGATCCCAATTTACAGCAGGAGGCTAACAAAAAATTTTAACACAGAACTTTGAGAAAAATAGAGGCTATTTTTGGGTGTGAAAAAAAGGGAAGCTGTATTTTTTTAGTTGGATCATTCTGCCTCTGCCTGTCAAGCAATACAGTCCTGGTAGAATCTCTGGTTCTTCTTGTACTGCAGTTGATGAACAGGGACTTTCCAGAGCAGGAAAATCTCCCCTTTTGTCATCACCAAAATGTACACCAGAAGCCCAGAGAAGGAACTGCAGATCTGAAGTCCAGGTGATTTCCATCGGATAGCCAGCACTGCCTGGATGCCTGCCTTTACCCATTACTGACACACCTTCATACTTCAAGGTATGCAAGGCATCCATGATCAGAAGTAAAATTAAATTAAATAAACAGAGTGATGCCAGAATTATTGACACCTTTCTAGGAAAGGGAAACTGAGGCAAAGGTAGGGGCTACATCCATATAATTAATGAGACATTTAATTCCCACTGCATTCTCTGTGTGGAGTTACAAGCTGATTACCTTCAAAGAAGGACCAGGCAGTGTGTTCATGCTCATGCTGTTGGACCAGGAGAAATGCCAGGCAATAGGGCTGTAAGAATGTGATGGTGCCCTCGGAGCAAGTCCCACCCTTCTCCATGGGGACACAGGCTTCTCACCACAGGGGTCATTTCTGTCACACTCACTTGGATTTAAAAGTAGGAATTTTACCTGTGTAAAAATGAACAGTGAGTTGTTTCTTACCTGAGCAGTTTATTGTGAGGCAAGAATGAGAAGAGCAGATTTCAGATGCTGCACACATAATGAGCAATGCACTAATTGGCACTGTTGTTCACAGCAGAATAGGTAGATACATTCAAAGGCAATCAAAATGCCCATTATACTTCCAGTTATGTTGAAGGAAGATTTGGCTCAATTTTCACTGGACACACAGACGTGGGTTTTAGCTATTTGCAACAATTGGAAAACTATCCTGAATACACCTGAACTGCTTACAGTTTTCTAGTGCCACACAGGATGTCTGTACCCTGTCAGGTAAGAAGCATGCCCATTAAAGTGAGACACCAACTAGCAGAATTTATTTCAGTGAGAGAACTAATCAGAAAGCAGATGTATAGACCCATTCCCCAGAAAAATGAACCAAATGATATTTTAGACCAAGTCCAACAGTAGGCACCGTTCTGTCACATACTCATGCAATGAAGACAGGTCTTACTCATTTTTTCATAGCATATGCATGAAGTTCAAAGTTCAAACCCAAATACTTCCTTAACCAGAAAAGACACAGTCATTCAGACTACTGATTCAATATGTGTTTTAATGAGAATTCAAAAAAAGTACGAAGCTTTTGGAGGAGGTTCCAAAAGGACAAATGAAACAGAACCTTCCACACTCTCCCTATTCTCTATACCACTGCCTGTTTGTTAGCAGCAACAAAGTGTGACACATCACATGGGGCTCTGCTGAGATGAACTCCACACCCCTGACCCTGAATCACTGATAAAGTCATGACATGGAAAAAAGGGCAGCCTGAGTGCCCTCACAACCGCCAAGCTCTGGGGCTCAGCAGCACCTGCCATCATCCTGTTATCTCCTTTGCGTGTCTCCTACTACCATTATCAGAACCAGAAGTGAAGAGGTATTAGCAATAGAAAGGTATTTTTGCACTGTGCTCCCTCACTGGATGGGGCTCCTGTCTGTGTCCCTGTGTCCAGTCCAGCAGCAACAAACCCAGCACAGGGAGCACGTGTGTGGGGCAAGGGGCCCAGCCTCGCCGGCTGCTCAGAATGGGCACATTCAAAGAGAATTCAGATCAGTCATTCAGCCATACCTGAGCAGATTCAGAGCATTTCCTTAGTGTCACCTCCTTTCTTTCGCTGCCCTCACCCAAGGACAAGATGGTCTAGGAGGTGACCTGTGATCTCCCTTCACACCTCCCTCTTCTTGGACCTGGGGAAAGCACATGGCAGAAGGAGAACACCAACAGACCTCATTGCTTGTGGCTCCTTTTACAAACCAAGACAACCAGATATGGGCAAAAAATAATAGCTAGCAGAGATTTGTTATCCAATCTTATTCCTCCTTTATTCTTCAAAGATATCCCCTTCCTCCCCAAAATAAACTCCTCGTTGAAACACCAGGGTGGACACTTCGCCTTGGTTGCTACTGCAGCCTGACAAGAGATATTAACCACGGACATAATTCACAAGATTCAATGCTTGCCATGTTTATCAGAGTTTCTTTGGAAAAATATAAAAAAACCCTAATCCAGTACTTGCTAAGAGAATATCTTTCTAGTCATAAAGGATTAGAGTCCCTAAATAAAAGAAAAGCTGAAAATTCTGTGTGAACTGATGATAAGAACAGATCATTAATATTAAAAATGCAAATACAGAGAGGATATATACCATCCTCCCACACCAATGGTATTTTTGATCAGCCAGTCTAAGTAAATCCAGTACAGCATTTATGTACTCAGCTTGAAGTAAAATATTAAGGACAGAATAACAGTTAGGAATATGACAATGATGTTGCCAATAGCCTCCAACCAAGCATCACTAATCCAGGAAATTTAGAGATGAGATAAAGAGAAACCCAACTGAATTGAAGTAAGAAACATGCAGCTACATTCTTCAAAGAGTCTTCGTGTTGTGGCATAGTGAGGACAGATTGTGACTAAGGCATCTATTTGTATTCCTACGAGTTTTTTTAGAGCTGGATCCACCTTTCTGGATTCACTGAATGAGTAATCACTAGCATTCATTCATTTTATCATGCGTTTTCTTCCCTTCAGGAAGTTCCTGTTTCAAAATGTCTGTGTGGAGACTGAACGAAAGGCACCAGCTGGGGCTCCTGTACAAGATTTCTGTCCTTCTGGAGGATCAGAGAGCTATTTTAAGGGCAGAGCCACTGGGGAAGCATAAGACAGCCAGCAGTCACCAACCCCTAAAGAGGCTGGCACCTGGTTTGCCTGACCAAAGCCTCTCACAAAGCAGCCCATTCCACACGGGTTTGGCTTCTAATATGGGTTAGGGCATTTTTTTCTCACATACAAAGAAATGCTGGAGGGAACCTGCCAGCACCAGATGTTCTCTGTGGTTCTCCCTCCTTCCCAGCAGCAGGCAAGGTCTCAGTGGTATGGGGGACATTTCAAGCAGAAACATGCAAGCCATTCAACCATTAAGCCGTTTAACCTTTAAAGACTAAAGCTAAGTGACACAGCTAATCCACCAGTGAAAGTCTGTGTGTTCTTTGTCTCCCCCATAAGAGTAACACTCCAGTCGTTGCAGAACACTGATGGTAAGCTGCATTATTTCCAATTTCATGGTGGAACTAGTTAAAAGTTTTTAGGCTATACTCTAGATGTAACATTAAATACAGCCACTGCTAATAACTTAGCTTAATTATTAGCTGATTTATTCATATACATGCAGGCAGAAGATTTCAATTATTTTTAATTATATGGAAAGTTCCAAGTGTTTTTTTATTCCATTAAGATCATTCAAAACTCTGTAAAACCTGCAAGTGCTTAATTCTTTAAATGACAGTTTTTAATTAATTTGAACTCCAGCTAATTAAAATATTTGTAGACTGCAAAAACCTAATTCGTTTTTAAAAGGCAAGCTTTTACATCTGCAGCAAATATGCTCTATTTTCCATTGGGATTAAAGATCCAGCCCCTATTTGAAGTGTAAAACCCTCTTCAGCCTTAACAGTGAAATTACAAGTGACAGCAGGTAGTAGAAGTGCTCCATTGGCTTGGGCTGTACCTTACAAACCACCTCCTGAGCATACCCAAGTCCACTGCTCCCACCACATGCATGAAAATCTGGGCACTGGAGACAGGAACAAGAGCTTCAGCAAGCCTTTGGTGGTAACAACCTTGGCTTAACCCCTCACCTCTCAAATACTTACCTGTTCCTGCAGCCCTGGAAAAAGGGGGAAACCAATGGCCCCCTCTGACAGCCACCAACAGCCACCCTGCAACAAAATTTGTTAGGTACCCCACAGAACTCTAGCCTCAGTGGATAGCTTCAAAAAGGAAAGGCAAAGGACTTTAAATTTGTAAGCAACCAAAATAAGGCTGTGGTTGTGCTATAGATGTCTCACCACCCACAGCTACTTTTGTCTTCACTGATGATTTCTTATGTCATTTGACGATGGGGAAGTGGCTCTGATGACAGCCCAACAAGTCAGTAGCTGGCTGCAGGCTGGATTATGAAGCCAACACAGGAGTTGTTTTTGCCATATTCTGTACCCCAGAGCCCAGGCTTGCTAGCACCTCCATAATTTCCAAGCCAGCATCATGACATGGCATTTCCACCCCAGTGGAACAACCTCTCCAGGGACAGAGGAGAAAGCCCATTGCTGGAAAGTTGTAGGATGTGATTGGAGCAGGAGGAATACAATCCCACCTAGGCTCCCTTTCCCATGAAAGGGTGGACCAGATGATCTTTCCGGGTCCCTTCCTACCTGGGCTGGTCTGTGATCACTAGGGGCACAGAAAAGAAGAAACCTTTCTGTAGAGCAAAACAAAGGCTTCAGGAGGACAATGCACTGATCCTACCGTGTGTAGATTTTGCTGCTTTCAGTCTGCACCGATTTAAAGGCCTGAAAGACACCAAGCCTTGACTGGCATGAGCCAAGTTGGATTTTCATCATGACACCTTCACACAGCTGCTGGCAATGAGCTTCCCTCATATACAAATATAGCTAATGTATACAGTGATTACTGGCTTGATTCCTCCATTTAGAGTGAGCAATGCATATAGCCATAGTAACCAGCTCCTGCCACCAAGTCTTCCTCTTCTGAAGGCAATCCATTTATGCATGGCCCTATGAAGAGGAGTTCACATTTCTCCTGTCTGGAAGAGCAGGAGAGGGAGTTTAGGCTCTGCAGTTCTGCCACACGCTGCAGATATGACAAGGAGTGACCTTTGGCTATTGTTCTGTAAGTGGTTTTCCAACATGTCACATGCATCTGTTACCCACTTATCGACTCACTTGAGTCTGTATAAACCAGCCAATATTGTCTTTCCTCGGCAGGGTTATTAAAAATGCAACATGAATGTGCAGTAATATCTCCAAACAAATTTCTTAGTCAAGGTATTAATAGTTATAAGGTGTTGGAAAAACATTTTCAACAAGTTAATGTAGTTTCATAGGAAAATAGGCTTGTAGCTAACATTCACATTAGCATTTCTCCTGCCTAAAGGATATTGAATCTGAGGACATTTAGCTTTTAATGCTTTAAAGATATGAGCATGCCAGAGCCTTTAACACAAGATAACAAAATCCAATTTCACTTGTCTCGATCCGCCTTTGTAAGTGTTGCTACTCAAGTGCTGAACTTGAGTCCCAGATCTGATCTAAGCTTTATCCCTTTCTAAATGGGTAAAAATAAACACATCCTTTCTTGCCCTTTATGGACACAAAAACATTGCAAAGAAGGAAGAACACGTGTGCTCTGAAGAACTGAGCCAAGCAGCAAAGATTGCCTCTCAAGGGCATGCAGCAAGTACTACTTTAGTTGTTGAGCTCTTTATGGTAAATAGTGGTGTTTATATATAAAATAAAAGATTCATATGGCAGCTTAGACTATAGACCTATAAAAAAAAAAATCTCCAGAAATCCCTAAAGACATTACAGAGACCTTTGCACAGAGGAATAATATGTAGAGACCAAGAAAAAGCCTAAAGATGTTGTAATATTTTTAATTGCTACACAGTACTTTACTGAATGAAAGGGAAGTTGGCCATATGCATGAACACTGGAAAGCAACTACTTTGAATAGCAGTAAAACAGGTTTGGCCTAAATGCCCAAGTTCAGAACTTACCAGAACCCAGCTGGCATCAGTAGCCCATGGAGTCCCTGAGCTGTGAGGCATGCATGTAACTATCCAACAAAAAATTACCAATTTCTATCAGTGTCATGAATGGTCATCGTTTAATATTTCAATCCAGCAGAGTTCTCATCCAAGCACACATCCTTGTTAGATTTTCCTGAGACTGATGATGTTTAATGAGTCTGGGAGAAACCCAGGAAAATGTTATCACTGAACAACAGACAGAGACTAATACCAGACTTCAGCTACCCGATCTAAAATTGTTATCACACTTCAACAAATGGAAAATAGTTTCCAAAGATTAGGACCATCCCTTCTATCTCTCCTCAATTACTTTCAACCTTAAGTTCTGAGAAATGGAAGAACTCTGGTAAGGTGATGGTGTAGGGGACACTTTGGTTTATGTAAGACAATCCCCATGCTTCTTAGGTTGTGGGGCAACCCTCACTCTTACACCCTTCTACCCATGGCTGTAGTGTAATAGTTTTTTAAATTACACCCATCACACACAGTGGCAAAATTCTTATGGATTTAAATGTTAATACTTTACTTTTAAACACTTGCCCTCTTAGACTTATTTACATAAAACATCAGCTTTATCTCAACAGGATAATAAGGAAAGGTAGAGGGGACTTAACAAGTATTACCCTCCAACAAACAGCAAAGTTACCACCTGGAGAACTGCAGCTCAGGACTTGCATTTACTTGGGCTTGGCCAAGGGCTTTTCACCCTCTAGCAATGGTCACTTGCAATCCTCCCTCTTAAGCAGAGTTGGTAAACCAATAAAATCCTGACTGTAGCTTAAGTCTAGCTTCTATCCTTTCTTCTCACCAACTTATGAATAAACATGACAGAATGATCAGGCCTTGAGCAGTTAGATATATAATAAACAAGGTTTGGGAGCAGGAGGGAAAGAGGGAAGGAAAAATGTCATTTGAGTACTCCAGGCTTCAGAAATAGAACACAAATTGGAGGCTGTGTGACCTCTCTCCAGCACCTGCGTGCATAAGCGCTCTGCTTCCAGTGCTGTGATTAGATGCTATTTTTCCCCTGGGGGCTCTGTCTCATTCTGCATATGAGATAGGTCTGCGTGGGGAGGAAGGCAGAGTCAGGTGGCGAAGGAGACTCTGCTGTCTGCTTGTCCCTTTCCACTCTGTTGCAGAAGCTGCCTTCTGTATGAGTCAGAACTGGGAAAAGAAAGATGATTTTAAGATTCAAGCAATTGTTTACTGAATTAGTATGCCAGGAGGCTTCACTACAAAGTACCTGTGTGATGGCAAGCAAGCTATTTACACCAGCTTTTAGACAGACAGCTACTATAATTGTATGTACTTCCTATGTAGCTAGAGATTGAAACCCCTGATGTGCACGGAAATGCTGAATGGAAACACATGAAAGTATGGCATGCCAGGGCTGCAGCCAAAACCACCAGGACTCTGGAGTGATGGAAAGCACACTTGTGCATGCAGGTGTGAAGTGCTATGGACTAACAAAAAAAAGAAATCAACTTTTCACATAAGGAGCCCCAAATGAGCAGTTAACCCCACTGTACTGTGAAGGCAATTGTATGTGGATATTGTAACAGTAAGCTCCCCGCAGAAATGAGTGATGAGAAGGACATTACATATTCTATTTTAGGGTTTAATAGCTACAGGCAGGCCTATCTTCACACAAACATAACCACAGAATATGCTCAGTTGGAAGGGACCCTCAAGGATCACTGAGTCCAGCTCCCTGCCCTGCACAGGGCACCCCAGGAGTCACACCCGTGCCCGACAGCATTGTCAAATGCTTCTAGAGCTCTGTCAGGCTGGTGCTGCGACCACTGCCCTTGGGAGCCTGTTCAGTGCCCAGCCACCCTCTGGGAGAAGAACATTTTTCTAAGATCCAGACTAAACCTCCTCTGACACAGCCTCATGCCATTCCTTCGGGAGTGTTTGAGCACAGCAGCAGCAGCCTTGGAGCAGTTACTCGCTGCAGCCCCGTTCTGCGCACGCAGGCAGAGGCAGGAGCAGCCTCTGTCATGGCACTCCAGAGCAGGGCAGCCTGTTAACCTCTCTGGGGGAGAACATCTGGGAGGGTAGCACACATCAGCCAGCCCAGAGACTGTGCAATCTTTGCCTAAAAATACAGAGCGCTTTGGCCAGATACTGACCAGAGAGGATGCTGTTTCCCAGCATAGTCATACACACTCCTCCCAACAAAATCAGCTTCTGCCCTGGATAGTGAATGGCATCAAGGCATTTACTTGGTCTTCACAGAACACAACCAAAGCAATAGCACAATGCCTTAAAGCATATTTTGAGCTTTTTGGTGTTGAAACAAACCACTCAACTACTACTGAAATGAACACAGTAACTCTGAGATTTCCCGCTGCCTTAGAAAGCCACAACAAAGAATTTACATTGTTTCACCTCATCCTGAATATAAGCATGAAAATGAAATGCTTCTTTCAAAACTAGATTCACTTCCAGTTACTAGATACATGACAAAAATAAACCAAAGACATTATCCTCAACTTTAGCCTTAAAGGATAAAGGATAAAAAGAGAAAAAATTAAGGCACTCATCATAACACATGAGCAAGCTGAGATGGTCCCCACATTCCAGAGAACTATAACAAAACAAACAAACAAAAATTATATATATATATATTTATATATATATGTATGTATGTAAATAAATATATTGTAACTGATCATCACTGGATTTTTCTTCTTTTTAATATCAGGCTTATCAGTAACTTCTGTCTTTTTAAATTACAATAGCCTTATATTTCCTTATAGGACATCCTGGCTGTGCTGTAAAACATAGCTGAAATGCAATATTTGAATATCAATATAAGCAAATAATAGACCCAGACAGATTATTCTGAAGTAAAACTGAGACAAAACAAGAACTTCTTGCTTACAAAACTAGGTTCTAATAACTTAATACAGTGTAAAAATCCTAAACCAGATTGTTAGCTCAGTTACTCTGAAGAAACATTTAACCAGTAGAATAATTGTTCTCTCATGTAAAGGCTTAGCTTGATAAGGGTAAATTAAGGGCTGACCATCCCTGCTACGAGAGGGATTCCAGCAGTATGAGGTGCTTGTTCTGCATGCAGAGATAACCTTTTCAAACATGTACAAGACCCTTTGGAATTTTATCAGTGCCTATTCAGTGACAAGTCACAGGCTGGACTAGAGTCTCTGTAACATGAACCAACTGCTTTCAAAGAAAACTACCATCAACTATGATACTACAGTAGCTTAGCCAAAGAAATCTGGGAGTTTTTCACTCCTATCTTAGGATCTGGTGACACAATCTCCCCTTTCCATGTACTCTCTTCTTTCCTTATCCCAGAGTACAAGCAATGCTGGAAATGTCTCAGAAAAACAAACAAACAAAACTGTGCTGTCTCCCTAGGCTTGCCATGTTGCAATGAGGAATGTGCAAGCTACCTCCATCACATTTCTCAAACACTGACATTTCTGACACAGCTTTAGGAGGAAAAGATGTTTGAATGCCCTGTGAGCAACTAATGCTTTCAAAGTCCATCTAAGCAACAAGAGTACAATGCCCACGCCCAAGTAACATGTCCTTGGCCTGTGACTTCCTTCTTTAAGGAGAAAGCTTGGAGCTTTGTATCACACATATGCACAGCATGCTGTGTTCAGGACTGAGACTGGGTCCTGGCTGAAAAGAGATTTCAGATGACTCCCAAATATACCTCAAGATCCTCTGGACTGCCTTCCATCCTGCCTCCATACATGAAATAGAGTTTCACTACCTGCTTTCCTCAAGGTTGCGTAAAGGCTCAGCCATTGTCCCAGCAGCTTTGTATTCAGTTTTACAATGATACATAGCTGATACAGAGAGCTTGAAAACTTCCTTCTGCCATTAAGGCTTCCTGCCTAGCCTGTGGTCCCTTTTGTCCCTGCAGTTCATTTTCCAAGCTAGGCCAGAGCCTGCACTGTCACACTGAAGCTCTGTGGGAGGTGAACCCACAGACTTTTCCTCACAGCCAGGTGCCTTACCCCCAACACCGTCTGCTTTGGTTCTTTGTCTCCCCAGTCAGCATAAGGCTAACTAAACGATAAAGCTGCGCCCCGATAGTTTCAATGCATTCCTTTCTCTTTTTAGGGGTTTCTCCACAAAACTTCTGTTCAGAAGGGAAGATACTGGTAAAGGAATGCAGCATGCAGTGATGCTCTTACACATTTCTCCTGGAAAGATGGGACAGTGGAGCAAACACCACAAAAGTTTTAATAGTTAAGCACCAGGAGTTTGCATATTTCCATTTGCAATGCCATCCTTTGTAACCAAACCAAATCTGTTGTTGGCAAAGTGCAAAGTGACTGCAATGTTTGCTCAACACCCAACACAGCCCAAAAATAATGGGTCAGGAAGACAGTCTATACACTGGTAGCAACATATCACATAAGGGATCCCATAACTCCTGAGCTCCCACTTTTACACATAAAGCTAATGGCCATAAAAAAGCCCCAAACCAAAGTAAACCAAAGCAAACCAAAGCAAACCTTCTGCACTCAAATTTGCACTGAAAGCTCAGTTAAAAAGTCATGTGGGCAGTCATACAGGCATAAGAGGAAACACAGAGAGGTTCAAATGTAATGCTGAGCATGAAACACACACATAACCTAGCTGGCTCTTTGTAGTAACGGCCCTTTACAGGAGTCATTCATAGCAAGACAAAATCTTCCAGCTAACCAGCAACTCTTCAGCCAAGATCAGGCAATCTCAGGTCAAAGAGCAACATATCAGAAGGGACACAAGGCTGTTCCTCAGGAAAGGTTTAAGTAACATACTGCAACCATGAGAACCTCAGGCACAGCAGATTCAAACAGAAGCTGGGCATGAAAATGAGGCTCACACTACCTTATTACATCTGCTCTGAAATGGATGCCCTCTTGGATACAGTTGAGCAGAACAATCCAGAGTGCCATTCAGGACATGGGCAAGTGCCTGGCCCTCA